CTTTTCTTCTTTAGTAAATCAAGTTGTTGGGGTATCTGCGGTGTTGCTTCAATAAAAATACAGTTTTTCAACAATTACATTGGAATTGTTTCTGCGATTGACTAACTAATTGTTATGCTTTAAATTTACAATATGCAATGATAGAATTTGTGGCATTAAAGAAAAAGATTATATTTTATATAGGTCGGATAAAATAAATTTATTTAATATAAGAATTTGCATTTGTATTAAATTTATTATTAGTTCAATTAAAAGAAAAGGAAATTTTACTGTATAGGCGCCGACAAAATATATATAATTAAAAAATTATAATCATAAAATATATAGATAATTATAGATATTAGTTGTAAAGATAATTACTTTTTTATAACAATTGTATACAATATCACACCTGTAGAAAGTAATAAATACTATACTATTCATGGGTAAAACAAATAAAAGCAAGAGTGACTTTCCATTACAGTGGAGGTAGGAAAATAATACACGCGAACGTATTATTTTATAAAAAGTTATATAAAATGTAAAAAAATTTAAATATAAAATATATAGAAATAAAATAGTTAATTTTGTCTACTTGCTTCATTTCAATTCAAGTTATTGCTATTAAAAAGTGAGAAATCAGTCAAAAAAAATTCAAGCTTTTCATTAGCAAAGTATTAACTATACTAATCAATATAAACTAATACTTTGTATTTTGTATTAATTTGTATAGCTTCTATTAACGCAAACCCGTAAATTATACTGATTTATTGGAAAAATGATTGAGTATTTAAACTATATATTGAAAAATAAAAGCATATTAAAGCGTGATTAATTTTACTTAATTTTCAAACACTAATTGATGACCGTTTAATGAAAGTATGTCAACATTTAGAATTGAAACTTGTCAGGTACTAAAAGTTGTCCAGCTCTAAAAACACGGTTCTATTCCAAATATCTATTAATTTCGAAAGGATAAGAGATCAGAACCAATAGAAATAAAACAAATAATTATACAGGCTACTGAATTGATAATATTTATTGCATTACTCCTGGTGAACGATCTTGCCCATTTTAATTTTATTATATTAATCAAAGAACATACGCTAAATCTTATTTCACGCCAAACTATAGGGTTTAATAATATCTAAACTTAGGTTGTTAAGTATATATGTGTTTTCTGCTTACCGCATACTTCTATCTTAAAGTATCAATTAATCTCTAGTTATATCTTAACATTTTAGTAAACAAGTTTATTTATTTATATTAAATAAAAATATAATAATATTAATAATTATTATTTATTAATAATAATTGTATTGAATCGACGCATGTATAGTTGCTATAAATTGTTCCTTCATTTTGATAGGACTAAAATTAATTTTTCCGATTTAAATATTTTGTCTGAATGTTTTATTCAAATTATTATTTAACTATTTATATAACTGATATTCGTACTATCAATTTAATTCATCAAGCATTTTAATACTAGTATATAAATCATCGTTTAATTGTATTAAATATTTACGATGCTTAATAATATATATGCTATTCGTTACGTGCTACTTTTTGAAAGATCTTTACAACGATTGAATAAGTTAAGAATTTATTGTGAAATTCATTTACATGCCACTCTAATTCATGCCTAATTAGATTCTTTTATTTTTGCGTAATAAATTATCTAGATTCATAAAGATAATTATAAAATAAAACTATAAAACAAATACATTTTATTATCTTTCATTGTTTAAAGTTCATCTTTTCATATAATTTCTAGCTTGTTGTTGGCGTTGGTTTATTATGCATTGATTATTGGATCTACACCTTCAATAGTTGTTTCTTGTCTACTTAAAGAGACTCTTACTTAAGAAGACTTACTTGATTGAGATGAAAACTCTTCATTCATGCACTATTGTTCAATTATAAGCCGCCTTTAATGATCATTGATTGTTATTTTTCACGTGAATAGTGTTGATTCACGTAAAGCATTTTTTTTTTTTTTTTTTATAAATTACGTAATTAATCTTAAATTAAACACAATACTTTTTTCTACATTACATAAATAACTCCACAAGTGATAAAATAACAAAAAAATTGATGAAAGATAATTATAGATCTTAAATGAAAATATAATTGCAGTAAAAATAAAAATTATTATAATTACTGCATACAATTTTTTGTCACGGTCATTTTATTTAATATATCGCATTTTTTCTGTCCTGTAGCTTTGTCCATGTACACGTACTCTTACACTTTCATTCTCTAGCTCAGTTCTAAATACCTTTGTGATCCATTCTTCATTACTTTTCATTTTGATACAAACTTTATTTTCTTATAAGCTTATTTCGAAACTAGTTTATTTAATCAAACTATTCTAGAAATGGCCATTTTTTTCTTTTTAACCAGTAATAAATATTATGTATTATTAAATAAATTTTATTATTTAAAAATAAATTATCGAATTAAACCTTGATATTTTTGTCATTCATTAAAAGATTATAATAATTTTTATTTTTAATTCTATTCTTCTGTAGTTACATTAATAATAAAAACTTGCTTATTAGGATTTGATTTTCATTATATTTGTAGCTCAGGTATTGACTTTTGTCTAACTTTCGCAATGATTTCCAAAAGTCTTCAATGATACTTCGAATTTAACTTTATTTCGAAGAAATGCTTACTTACAAATGTAGATTCTAGGAATTTATAACCAATAACTTATCATTTTTTATATTATTGTTATTTAATTTATTAGATTTTCGAATTAAAGTTTATTGGAAATTTAGTTGCCGTCTCTTATGACTTATAGATTCTTAGAATTATGTATATAAAAATAATTTATATTATAAACATTTGATCCTATCAATCTAAACATTAGACATTTTTATTTCATTTATTTTTTTTATTCATTTAATAAATAAAAACTAAATAGATAAATAATTATAAGGTTTTTAAAATAAAAAATCTCTGTGTGGTAAAAAAATACCGTTTTTAATTCCGATAAACAAAGGAATTCATTGTTATAATTAAGCCATGAAATACACTATAATTTTCTATAAAACCATTATTTTGAAAATCGGAGATAATATAAGAGGAGATGGATGAGATCTTGATTTATTATACGTTCAAACAAGATATATAAATATATAAATAAGATAAATACAAAAATTGTGTAAGTTTAAAATTACAAGAAAAAAAAGAATGAAATAAATAACGCTTAAATGCAAATATTAATTTTTATTCAACAATCGCACGTGTGGCCATTTGTATCAATATATGCAAACAGATAAAAACAAGAATGTAACAGGATGAGCGAGTAAGAAACTCTAGGCCCGGGAAAGGGAACGATGCCAGACTCACGAGTGGTCAGACTGGATGTAACAGGACATTACCCTCTAATAAGTAGAGTATAGTAGAGATAGAAAGGGAGAAGAGAATAAAACGTTTTACTCCTTGGTACCCGAGCGGCTCTCATCGCAGCACTCATTGTATCGGACTCTTGCTCTTTCCTCACATCTTCTTACTCTCTTTGACTATAATATTATTCTTATTCATTATTTTTTATATTAATATTTTTCTTTTCACTCTTTTTTTACTTGCGCCATTTTCTTAATATTTTCCTGCCATTTATTTTATTTCGGACCACCTACACTCATTTATTCAGGATCGTTTACTGCATACAATTTTTTGTCACGGTCATTTTATTTAATATATCGCATTTTTTCTGTCCTGTAGCTTTGTCCATGTACACGTACTCTTACACTTTCATTCTCTAGCTCAGTTCTAAATACCTTTGTGATCCATTCTTCATTACTTTTCATTTTGATACAAACTTTAGAATCATTCGCTTTTACATTATCATATATGTGGTAGATAAGCGTTTTATTGTTTATAGAATTACTTATTATATGCAGGTTATATGCGTTTAATTATTAATATGCTGACCACTTATTGTATTTAAGTTATCTTCTCCCCTATAATTTATATATCATTGTACTGTAAACCAAATAATCTTCATTTTCATTTTTTATACTTTACCTACTTCTTTTCTTCCGTGTTCATTTATTCAATGCTTTTAGATTTCACTTAATTCGATAAACTTACCAACAAATATCAACTAATTTATTCATAATAATTCTACAAAAATGTATATTACTCATATATTATAAAATATTTCTGTCAATAAACTATTTTTCAATAAAAGTAATGTAGGAGCACGATATTATTTAATTGTAAATTTCATTAACATATATATTATTCATACCTACCGTACATGAATGTACCGATATGAAAAATTACTTTATATCATAATAAAGGTCATAATAAATCACATTGTTCATGCTCACATCACTCATAATAACATTGTAAAATTATCATAATCTAATTTTTCAATATATCAGTAATTAAAAAAAAAAACAATGATACCATTCAAATCGAATGCTTTGCTTATATTTAAAACGGTGTTGCATTCCTTCTAATGATAAATGTAACAGCTTGAGTCGCAATTAATATACAAATTTTATATAATTTTAATTTAATATAAATTTTATAAAATTACATGTGCATTAATTGTAACCAAGAGAAATTGCATTTATATATTACAAAATTAATGTTCTTTAAGCCTTATTCGATGGGGCATAGAAAATCAACAGCGTTTCGAAAGCCCTTAACTTCCAGTACAGAATACTTCGCTCGCTAGTTACATCCCCGTCCCGCTCGATCTTCTTTTCCTTACTTCATATCCGCTTGGTGGCTTTCTCCACTAGTACCAGCACCAGCAGAATCTCAGCTCCTGTTTTCGCGCTCATCCCAGCCTAGCCGTACCTAGCTATAGTTTGCCCCCCCCCCCCCCACCCCCACCTCCTACCCCCCTCACTCACTCACTTTGCGGGCAGTCCTGGAATGCACCTCTCCCGCTCCTGTCTCGCATCCTTCTTTTCTCCTTTCCCCTCCTTTTCCTCCCCCTCCTCATTCTCTCGCAAGTTGGTCGCACAGCACGGCGGTGCAGTGTAACGCTTGGCTTGAGAAAGGAAAAGCGCGAGAAGAGTGCCGCGATTACACACGTAGAGGAGATCCCTAGTGCCGACGACGTGTTCGTACAGCTGAGAGTCAACGCTCGCACGCCTCTTGCCTCTTTCATAAGGAAGAGAGTGTATATTAGTTCTCCGCGTTTCAAATTGGACGAGGTTACTACGTTAATTGTAAATGGGTTCGTGACATTTTGTTATTTTGGCGTCATTTCTTTCTAACAATTTTACGTTCGCCATTCTCCACTGTATCCATCTTCTCTGTGTCATGCACTTTGTTGTGCACCCTTACTAAGCTTCTATCTATGTGAACAAGCTCAGTTCGATAATCGTGACGTGATAAAGCTGCTTTAATTCTATTTTGACTATATTATTGGTTATACAAATATTAGAAATTTATTTTTTATACTTTGAATTCAGTATATTATTAATCATCATCGTTTCGAGAAACATAGTAAAACATTATTCAGATGATACTATTATTTTTATGTAGAAAGCTGTAATGGTTGAAAAATAACTCTTTCAAGTAAATTTGAATAAGGAATTTTAAAAGCATTGAATGGAAAACGATTTTATGTAAAAAATGGAAAATTCAAAAAAAAATTTAGTTCTGAAAATTTCTGATTTACTGTTTATGCTTATTGTTATTATTATGCAGAAAGTTATTTCAATTGCTGGGAAATAAGCAGCTTTTATAAAAAAATTCCTAATTTAATAATAATGATAATTTAGTAATGATATTTAGAAATATTTTTTCAATTTTTACAAGATCTATTTTCACTGCTTTACTACCAATTGCATCTATTCTTGTAATATGATATTCGTAACGTATTTCTGTATGTAAGACTTATTTAGATAAATTCATAAAATTGTTGGATAATGATTTATTTTATAAAATTGACCAAGTTTGTACCAAAATGAAAACATCATTTTATTAGATATAATTTAGCTATCAATTACAAAAATTAGTAGAAAGTTTAAAGTAACGTAATGTCTTGTAATTAATTTAATAAATTATGCAACAAGAAATATATATATAAATTTATTGTATTATTTAATTGTTACTGATTTTAATTCGATTTGAGCATAAATGAAAAAAATAGATAGATGAATTCAATTTAGTATATTTCAAATTAATATAAACGATCAGAATTTTTAATTATATTACAGGATAAAATTTTATCAAAGAATAATAGTATAGTGAAACCGTTGTTAAATTATTTCTTTAACGAAATTTCTTTAAAGAGATGCTTTTTAAAAAATACATTAAAGCGTTTGCTTATTAAACTTTTAAATAAGACCTTTGAATTTTTAATTTAAAAAAAAAAATTAAAAAGTATAGAATATGTATAAGCCAAATAATATCACAAGTAAACTATTTATGCAAGTCGATTTGAAGAATGTTAATTTGTTTATTTTATATGCAATTGTTAAATATTTCCTCGTAGATATCCAAGAGTTGGCTCCACTTTAAAAAAAATAGAATGCCATAAATGTATTAGTAAACGTAAACTACCACTGTGGAAGGTTACCATTTCATGTGCTCGTATATGCACATGCATGCACACAAACAATACTAGGCAATTACTTATACCATTAATATCAACCACGTTTTTCGCTCTTTTTTCTCCTTTTTTTCTTATTAAGAACAGTTAGAAACAAGATCATAGAGCGCGAATGATCCACTTACTTTGAAAATTGATTTTAATATGTTAATGGTTAAAAAATCCTTCTAATCTAGAAAATATTTGAGTACCACTAATGTGTGATTTATAAAAGACAAATACTGTGTTTCTTTTCGCCTTGATAAAACTTTAATATCACGATCACATTCTTTAGATTTATATTATTTTTTACAGTATTTAAAACAAATATTATTTAATTTTATAATATTAAATAATTTATTATGATATTCCATATCGTTTAATTCATTATTGTTAAATAACTAGAACTCTATTAAAATTTTTTAATAAGAAATATTAAATTGGATATGCATTAACTGAACTATTATTAAATTCATTTTCGCTAAAAAATACATAATTCATGATTGCTTTATGTAAGAGGCCATTTAAATTTTCAGATCAAATTTATAGGATGTATGTATAAATAGAAAGCTATGGAAAACAGAATTTTGTTAATTTTTAAAAATATTTTCATTAATATATTATAGAATTTTTTCAGTTTTATTTCTCTTTGCCATATGTTTCCCTACTTAAACCATTTTTATACTTGTATCTTTCTATTACTTTTATATTTGATCTACGCTATGTTCATCATATCGATCGGTACCTCAACTAGGTTGATAACATTTTCTTGTTGTGTCTTTATTTTTATAGTGCTATCAAAATATCTTTTCTTTCATATATTAGTTACATACAAAAGTACTTTCATAACTGGATATTTAATTTCTATTTATAACAATTTATATTCATTTTTTCAACCTCTGTATATTAAGTAATCATACAACTGTAATTATATTAAATTTATGTATATTTAAATTTAAAATTAAAAAAAAAAAGAATCTCCAAAATAACGCTTGGACTTGAGATTTGGTAGCAACAGAAATATTAATACAATTCTATTTAATAAATATGATAATAAAAATTAAATAAAACGCAGTTTTAACAAAAAATTTTTTAAATCTGCGTATGATATTTTTTTTTATATTATATTATATATAAAAATTATCAAACTTATCAAAATTAATGTATTGCACGACAAGATCATAGATAAGTTTAGTAAATTCATTTTACTCACCGATGAATACGTTTTGCGTCTTGTCAACCCACTTCTAGGCTATGTAGCATACAATAGCATTTTTAATTGTGTGACTTATACCTTTCTTCCTCACGTCATACCACTAGATAAGAATATGTATTATTTTTATTTTTGCCTTTCATTATTTACATTAACAAATATTAAATTATTAAGATATAAACTTAGATCTTTCATAGTCATTGAGTACAAGTTATAGTAAGGAAATAAAAATACTTTACAATTTTTTAGTTTTTATTTCTTAATAATCAATTAAAAATGAAATTTGTAAATGGTATTCATATTTAAAAATACAGATCAATAGTATCAGTTGCATAATATGTTGGAAGGCATATCCTATATCGAAAAGTTCATAGTTTATAAATACCTTATTGATCAATTAATATTAAATAGACATTATATGTAAAAAGTTGATTCGGTGACTTTAAAGAATTATCTTAACACATGTAATTCTATAATAAACATAACTCTATTGATTAATTCTTTTTAATGTGTGTTGAATTAATTTTGTTTTTGAAATTGAATGTGTGTATGATTTGAATTTAAGTAGGGGCGAATTTTAAGACAATTTTCAAATAACTTCTTATAGATGAAGATTGAAGTTTATATTTTTTTTAAAAAAATTAATGTACAAAATATTATAAATAAATAATTTTGCAAATTATTTGATTATGTTGTGAATAATTCTTAGTATTAAATTTCTTTTCATTTTCTTCTAAATTAAAGCTACTATTAACATACAATAAAAAGAGAGTTCGAAATTATATTAAAAAAAAACAATATAATAAAAGTAAAATGTAGTTTATTAATAACGGTATAAATCTATCAAATTTGGTGCTAATTAATTATTAAATATAGACAAACAGAAGATCACAATAAATTTATATATTTTATTAATTCTGATAAAATATTCAAAAACTTTGGTTTCATTTGTATTTGTCTTTAACTTTGCACGATCTCATCATTTTTCATGAATTATGTATGCGTGACAGTTTTTCCTTCGACTTTTAAGAATTTTCTTATTTGATATTTTCCTTTATTAATAATGTTTCATTTTCAAATTCGCAATTATATTTTATACTAAAAACTTATCGATTATCAGTATCAATTATCTAGATTCTGCAAATCTAAGTCGATAGATAAAGATTATTTTAAATTGTCCTTAATGTACAAATAATAATGTCTAGTAATTATTGATAATTATTACCTAATAAAAATTTGGAAGTTTAATTGAAATCGTTGCATATATTATCAAATATATTATTAAATTTATATAAAATTAAATAATTATATAATAATTTTTTTCTTACTTGGTAATCTGCTTGTCAATATTATTATATTTTTTCATTTTATATTTCGATGAATAAAAGAGATTAATTGTTTATTATTCCAAAGAACTACCTTGTAGTAATTAACATGCATAAGCTTCTGTTAAATATGAAATAAATAAATCATTTGGCGGTTAAATAAAATTTAATCTCCATTAGAAATTAAAAAAATTATTAAAACAAATTTAGAATTTAGGTACATGTATTAGTACTATGTGCTGCGTCTCGGTTTTCATCTTCAGACGACGTTATTACTCCCGTTTACAGTGGTTGCTCCTTACCCAGGCAGACGCACCATTTAGTCCGGAATTGGCTTACGCCGTGTGTCCTTCTCTTTCTTCACCCACGTAATGGATTATTTGGCGCCGCACGCCACGCGACTCCTCCCTTCCAGTCATTACGGCGTTAATTCCTGTCTACATATCCCCACGTTATTTTTTCTCCGACGCCACATATGTCCCATCCATATCGCTAACAAAACGTTGAAAAATTAAGGCAGTTATTGCTATTACTTTGGTTGCTAATGACACAGAAATATTACTTTAAAAAAATAGATACTGTATAATAAGATCGCATCTGCTTTTTTGTATTTCATTATTTTATTCAAATTTATTTCAATGAAAACATAGTAATTTCGGATAAATGTATTTATTTAAATGATTTTATAGTTAATAAATGAAAAAAATATATAGGACATAAGATTTTTTATACATATTTTATAGTCTTTCAAAAGATCGTACATTTTTATACAGAAAAATTTTATTAATATATGTTTACATATCGTCTATATTTATAGCAGTATAATTAAATGTAATTAATATTTTTTTAAAGTATCGTATATTTATTAACATGTATTTAAAAGTAATTTAAATTATCTTCAAATTAAGGCTGGGATCAACATTAATTAATAAACTGCACGCCATGTTAAATATGAAGAGCAAGTTTTATAATTAGTTATTTTAGTAATTAAAGACATACTAATAATAAATTCAAAACTATTTTAAACATTATTAATTTAAGATACTAAATGTATCCGTGGTATTAATATATTTAAATACAATTAATACAGTATGGGACAT